GCGGGGGGGCACTGACAGGGCTGACAGTAATTACACATAATCAGGTAAACAAAGCCCCCCCCCGCCAGATGCAGGCCTCTGCACACACGAGGGATGGGTGGATAAGGGACAGGCTGATGAATAGAAGCCTCCAGAATGGCATGAGATGCAGAAAACCGGGAGCAGAGTAACTGAGGGAAGCTACAGAGCCTCAGGACGCAGCATGCAGGGCTAACAGAGTCTTGGGACGCAGCATGCGGGGCCAACAGAGCCTCGGGACGCAGCATGCGGGGCCAACAGAGCCTCGGGACGCAGCATGCGGGGCCAACAGGGCCTCGGGACGCAGCATGCGGGGCCAACAGAGCCTCGGGACGCAGCATGCGGGGCCAACAGAGACACCGGTCACACTCAGCGGCTAAAGCACGGCTCCTCCCTCGCTCAAATGGTTCCCTCATGCCGGGTGGGTGGAGCTCTGTGAGGGGCGTGTCCCCTGGAAAGCTCCACCCACTACACATAATGGAGCCTGGCGCTCTCCCGGGCACAGACAAAGACTGATGTGAAATGTGTGCTGCCTGTGGCCCCATCAGAGGATGGGCTAGGTCCTCACACCGTCAGATAAACGCTGCCACATGCGGGGCAGGCCAGCTCCATAGCTACTATTAACCGCACGTATCTGCCCTGAGGGCACTCACGTCTGCTGCAAAGAATCCCCAGCCCTCCACCCCCCACCCCACCCCGCCTTCCCCAATCCCCACTGCATCGCATCTCGAACCCGTGCCCGGCCGTGCTTAATGTCAGAGGCACGTCCCGCAAATCCCTGCAGCTGACAGGTTACTAGGCACCCTGACGTTATGTCATCACCACCAGCCGGGGGGGGGTGTCTCATCTGCTTCTCGTTTGCGGGGGCCGCCACAAGCCCCCCTGGAACCCGCCTGAGACATCACACCTGGTACAACTGCAGAGGATAACGCAATTAAAGCGTCAGGCGCCTCAGCTGCGTCCTGCTAGGAGATGCGTCCCTCAACCCTCTAATGTTGATCTCACACCAGCTCTCAGCACATCTCCTGTCATGGCTTTGCTGGTCTTCAGATGCTCGCAGTGACCAAAAATAAGTTCTCTATAGATATTTACTAGCAAAAGTAATTGATGGAATAAAATCTCTGAGATTCATAGAGTTTATGAAAGCATTAAGGAAAAGATGGAGCACATGCCTGTACGTGAATTTACAGTGAAGAACATGGTATTTTCACATATCTGTTCAGTTTTTTACTATGAGTTCTTCACTAGTAAATTTTTGGCTTCCGTGTCTTTTTACTTTAAGATGTCCAGCAGGGACGAGAGGAAGAGCAGAGTGAGAGAGCAGTTACTGTCTGGTTCCTGTGCATCGTCTGGAGGGGGGGAGGTGGAGACCTTGAAGAACATGTAGCTGCAGTCCAGAACTTACCATGGGTACAGCAGCGCCCCTCAGAGGGTGGGGCTCACTCAGCAGCTGGCTGGGCGTCTGTCCAAAGCTAAGGATCTGGGCCTCAACTGCCTGGAAGCAAAGGAGACCAGCAGGAGGCGTTATTGGACCTGCAAAACCACAGGGGCAGGGCTAACGTGACAGTCCGCAAGCTCTCAGCCAAAGCTGCATGAGCATGAGGTCATGATGGAGCATGAGGTCATCGCTGAGCATGAGGTCATCGCGGAGCATGACATACTGTGCAGGGACGGCCTGACATCTGTGGGGCCCCGCACACCCTGCTGCGATCTGGGTCTCGGGGAGCAAGTGGGGCTCCGCGAGACCCCATAAATGATAAGTTCAACCCTAACAGGCTCCATAAAAATGAGGTTAACTTCTCAAAGACCCACAGAAACCACAGGCATCAATCACAGGCCCCACAGAAAGGCCCCTCACCTAGAGATTGAGGTCATCGCCAACAGATCCCATGAAAACCCGCTTAATCTCACACAGTCATATTTCTCTGGCAGACAGACGGGCCAGTGAGGGATGGACACACACGGGACATGGCAGGGGGCGACTGACTGGCAGGGGGTGACTGACTGGCAGGGGGTGACTGACTGGCATTAATCAGCCGCTCTTCAGTCCCAGTTATGAAGAGGACTGAGTTTCTTCCCTTTGATGATAAAGGGCTCCATAGCAAACATGGACATCAGTGTCCACATCTCAGGGTGAGTCTCTGAGCGCGTGGTGTCCGTCACCAATGTCGTGTACTCTGCACAGACTCCACCCCTCACACGCCATATGAGGAAGGGGAATGCCCCCTACAGAAATGGAGCCCCGCCCCCTACAGAAATGGAGCCCCGCCCCCTGCAGAAACAGAGACCCACTCCCGCCTGTCAGCTCAACATCATCAAGGCCCAAATCAAGGTCACGGCAATTGGCTGTTTGATTTTTTTCGGACAGTTTGGTTAAGCATCCATGTGGATAGACAATTCCTGATTAAATTTGGAGTTTTTACTGGCCATATATACCTAAATACATTATAAATGGTGCTTTAATGACTTATACACAGTGCTTAATGCTCTCTTTTATTATCCTTATATACCTGGCTATATACAACGTTTTACTGACTGGTTATATTCACTCTCATTCTGAGCCACTTAAAGCTGTAAATATTACTCCTGTAAAGGGCCTTGTCTCATTTACCACCGCCGCCGGATGAGCCGCTCATGGTTTTTCGGAGCGCTCTGCTGAGGGGGACCATGAGGGTCACTCTGTCAGCATCAGCCAGTGTCAACAAAGGCCCCGGCCAGCGTGTGGAGATGTTCCGGCCGCACAAGCGAGAGCTGCACACATCATCATCACACGACGGCAAAGTCCACCTCTCTGATCCGCGGCTCTGTAATGGTGCTCAGGTTGACGGCGCCTTCATAGGTCAGGTAGTAGAAGACATTGAGGGCCTTGGCCGCCTCCGGGCCCTGCTGCTTGAAGCCAAAGATGAGGTCTATCCACTGGTGGAGCTGCCTGGAGACCAGCTCACTCTCCAGGGCCTGAGGAGCAAGAGGGAAAGATGGAGAGATGGAGGAGGGAGAATAAAGGAAAGAGAGGGAGGGAGAGAAGGCGTGAGAGAGAGAAGGAGAGAGAGAGGAAGGGAGAGAAGGAGAGAAAGATGGAGAAAGTGAAGGAGAGACAGATGGAGAGAGGAAACAGGAAGGGTGAGAGGGAAAGGGAGGGAAAGAAGGAGAGAGAGAGGGAGCGAGAGAAAGAGAGTGAGGGAAAGAGGGGAGGGAGAGAAAGGGAGAAAGAGAAGGAGAGAGGGAGAAAAAGAGGGAGAAAGAAGGAGAGACAGAGGGAAAGAGATGGAGGGAGAGGAGAGAAGGGGAGAGGGAGAGAAGGAGAGAGAGAGTGGGAGAGAGACAGGGAGATAGGGAGAGAGAGAGGGAGGGAGGGAGAGGAGGAGAAAGCATCTGCTAGTGAGGCTGAGAAACAGAGAAACAAACATTTAACACTAAATAGCCACATTTAGGAGATATAGAGCGAGTAAAGGAGGCACAGGAGGACGCAGGGAGATGCACGTTTAATGCCTCCCTGCAGCAGCTGTCATGTTAATCTTGCCTCCTGTCTTTCTAATGCCATGACATTAAGCCCCGCCCCCCCAGCTGACAGAGGTGAGAAACATTTATACAAGAGGGACATTTGTGTTAATTAGCGCAGAGCTGCTGGTATGAAGAGTGTAAATGACTCCAAATTAAAGTCAAACACTTCATTGGCATTGTGGCCGCTTGTCACACGCGTGTATGACAAACATCAGGGCACTTAAGTGGCAATTTATATCATCTTAATGTTTGCCGCGGCAGCCATCACTCATCTAAATGCATGTGTCTGACAGGCGATTTCAGGACGAGCCGCTTAATTAGGGGCCTCAATCACGGCACGCGGCCCCCCGACGGCGACGGGCCCCAGCGGGAAATCAGAGAAGCTCCCTAACGAGTTTCTGAGATGAAACGGGACATTGGCGAGTTTGCCGGCCCTGGACGAAAATGCCAGTGGGGGGGCGGGGGAACGCCTTCTGTAATGCCCCCCGTTTGATTGATGTTTGGGGGGCTATGTTACATATACAGCATGTAAGGTGAGGCAGCCTGCAGCATGGGTCATGCTCAATGGGGCTCCAACCTCCTCAAACAGACCCTTAATGTTACTGTGCTGGAAGTGTCAAAGCAGGACGGGCCAATGGGCTGTCTCTGGGGGCGGGGCCAATGCGGCAGGACGAATCCCCAGTGAGATTAGCTCAATATGCAGCGAGGCTGACCTTTGCCGGGCCGCGCTCTCAGGTTTTCGCACGACGCCGCTCTCTGATGAGCATTTAATGCAGGCCCCGATGGCTGTGTCAGTCAGCCACGGCGTGCCCTTACGCCTGGCGGCCCCCGGGGGGGGCGACGCAGTGGTAATCACGAGTGATAGTGGGCTGACCCTCTATACAGAAGGAGTGGAGAGGGCCATGAATCAAAACCGTGACTGCTCTAAGCCCAGTGTATCTGCTTGGGGGGGGGTCATTTGCATTTCTAAAAGTGGCGTGTGCTCCAGTCCCGGCGGGGGGGCTGGGGGCTGGTCAAAAACAAAGCGGGCTGGGAAATGGAGCCATCAGCATGGCCCTGGGAGGCACATGAAGAGGTGGGGTTGGGTTCAGCCCAGAGTGAGGGTTAGGGTTAGGTTTAGGTTTAGGGTTAGGGTGCACCATCCTCACGTCCACGGGCAATGGCGGTGAGGGAGAAGGTCACATGACCCGTGGCGCCATTGGCCCCCCCCCCGTGCACAGCTCAGCTAGCATCACAGCTTCCGGAAAGGCTCACTCTGGCCCCAAAAAGACAATCGCCATATCAGCACATGCCGTGATTATTCTCCTTTATCTCACAATCATGTCCCCCTCCCACTGTCATAGTTAATGTTTCAGCCACGTCCCCCCCCGTTACCCCACAGCTCATCCTCATGCCTCCCCATGGGTGGTGATCCTCCCCCAAACAAGTGGACGTCACTGACACGGTGACTCAATGCTCTCAGATCTCTGCTCTTTTCAGAAGTGCGTGACGGCAGAGAAGCCCTCCCCCACCCCCTCACACTGCCAGACCTAAATGTGTGTGTTGCTCATTAGTTGGTGTGACCCCCCCCCCCCCCCCATGATCAGGAAAACCTGGCAGCCATCTTGTGCCAAAAGCACACCCAAACCCGGGTCCTTCAACCCCCAAACTCTCGCAAGTGGGAACCTTTAAAGCCTATTGTTTTTCTGGATATGGCTTTAAGAAGAACTTTCAAAATATCCTCAAATTCTTTAAAGGATGGAATGAAGCCCTTCAGCAGCCCGGATGTCAGACAGAGCCCAACGCCTCTGTGCAAAATGGCGTGGCAACCTGGCAGGGCTCTGAACCTATAGCCCAGTGTGCTGCGTTTACAAGACGGCCTTTCCTGAGACGTTTATGGGGTATTACTGAAGCATCACAATTTCATCTGAGGCTCCAAGGAAAACTCTCAGGGATACAAGATGCCAAAAGTGCCAATGCTCATGTGATCAGAGGACACCTTTCTGCAAGGCCTAACTGCAAAGGCCCAACACCACTAGCTCCTGGTCCAAGGAGGCCCAACATCCACCAACCCCTGGTCTGAGGAGGCCCGATATCACCAGACACTAGCCCAAGGAGGCCCGACATCCACCAACTACTGGCCCGAGGAGGCCCGAAACCACCAGCTGGTGCCCTTAGGAGGCCCGAAACCACCAGCTGGTGGCCTTAGGAGGCCCGACACCACCAGCCACTGGCCTTAAATAGGCCCGACACCACCAGCCACTAGCCTGAGGAGGCCCAATACCATCAGCCACTGGCCCTAAATAGGCCCGACACCACCAACTACTGGCTCGAGGAGGCCCGACACCACCAGCTGGTACCCTTAGGAGGCCCGAAACCACCAGCTGGTGGCCTTAGGAGGCCCGACACCACCAGCCACTGGCCCTAAATAGGCCCGACACCACCAACTACTGGCTCGAGGAGGCCCGACACCACCAGTTGGTGGCCATAGGAGGCCCGATACTGGCCTGTTGGACCGCTTGGGATTGATCCACCAACCGTGTCTCCGAATCATTGCAGGCCATATCTCCCATAAGACCCCTTCCATCTCATGGGCACATATGGCGGGCAGCACCAATGGGTTCAAACAGGCACTAAGGTGCACAGAAAACTGGGAAACAGTTACACAGGAGCGCATATCCCTGTGTTCCTGTGTAACTGGTAACTCTGTTACCAGACTGACTGAATGTGCCTGCATTCACCGTCTGTAAATCCACATATTTGCTGTTTCCGAAGTGATTGATTGATCAACTAGAAAAAAAGAGATGTCTTTGAAAGACGATACAGTCCCCACTAATGGTGAGGGATTCATCTAATCAGCAGCCCACTGCTTAATTAGCTGTTAATCATCTCTGTGAAATCAGAACATAACAGACTTTGTGTTGGTGTGAAGCTCATGGCCCATTACCCACAGATGTAGGGGTAGGGGATCGGCAATTAACTCCATACGGAAACGGCTCCAGTTTGGGGGCCAGGATCTCATCAGAAATCCCCGTTTCTCATCAGCAGCCGGCAGGGCGCCTCGTAATGTCAGCTATCAGTCATCGTGAGGCATCCAGTCATCAGTGACCCGCTCCAGTGGGTCATAGAGACAGAAACACACAAGCATACACGCATGCACACGCATGCACACACATGCACAAGCATGCACACGCATGCACAAGCGCACACCGTAGGTGCAGCAATGGCAAACTCCTAAAGCAAGTACCTGAAGCACAGAGTGTAAAAAGGATGTAAAAGGATATAAACGTGAACAGAGATATCAACATCGCCTTCTCGAGGTGGGCACAGATCTTGTCCCTGGGCCGTCCCACGTTAGGGGGTCTTGTTCACGATACATCCAAATGTCACAGCATCTTGAGCTGCTTCTGATTCGGAACGACCGCTGGTCTTCGTCATCATCGCCATCGTCATCATCATATGTCTGCATGTGTGCCTGCATGTACATGCGTGATGCATTTGTGTGTCTGTCTCTATGCCCCACTGGACAAGGTCACTGATGACTGGATGCCTCATGATGACTGATAGTCATCATCAAACTGTTCCCAACAGCAACTCGGAGATGGATGGAGAGTTGTGACAGCAGCAGTGCTGTTTACCACCACTCCAATATCGCATATATTTTGAGTGCGGCCACAAGAACTGCTTCTGGACAGTCTGTTTCCCCCATTGTTCTCAGCGGGTTCTAGGTGTTCTGGAACCATCAGGTGCAAAGCAGTAAAAAAGCCCGGTATTCAGGCAGACGGCACATGATGGGAGATTCCTCCTGAGTTACGTATCCTTGTCAGGCTGTATTAATGAGGAGCCGATGGTCTGGAGCCGGAGTGGGGTGGGGGTGTGGGGGGGGGGGGGTCACCGTATGCAAGCACTGCAGTGTAGCGGCCCTTTGATGTCTCCATTCCTTAATCTTTCCTGGAACGTTTCAAGTCTCATAACAGTCTGCGCCACTTTCAGATCATACAGCAGGAAAAAAAAAACTGAAGACAAGGAATATTGATTTAAAAACTGGAAGTGGTGAATGCAAACCCGGCCCGTTATTGTTAGGTATGAGCTCGGGAGTTTATATTCTCAAAACTGCACCATACAAAAAAAAACAAAAAATGAACATGCTTCTTCGATTAGATTAGGCAGCCTTACATTAGGGCCCGAAACTGCAGCGATCGATGCGTCGTATCCGCGCGCGTTGGACAAAAGGCCGGGGTATTGATTTTTGGGGTAATATCAATATGGAGATGGCTTTGACTGGAAGTAATTGAAAATGAATGGGTCACTAACGTCTGGAAGCCATTCAGGCAGCCAGCAATGACAGCGGAGCCGCCGCTGGGGCTTCAGTGGCCATTCATAGTCATCCTCGAGACAGAGGGCAAGCCGCAGCTTCTCACCTGCAACTATGGGAGGCGCTAGTCACACAAACTCGACTTACCAGCCGGTTTATGCGCACAAAGTCCTCAGGAGTTTTGGCCCACGGCGGAAGCTGGACATCCGATACCACTGTGCCGTCATCCATCACGCCCAGGTTGAAGTCATTTGCATTGTAAAACATCTCTGGGAGATAATAAAACTCCGGGATCAATTCCTGAGGAGCAGAGGAGAGCAGAGAGCTTTTCAGGTGAGGAAGAGGACGAACAAGTAGGAAACATCTGCTGGGGTTTGTGTGATTAGGCTGCAGGAGAATCGGAACTCCACCATTCAGAGCCAAATGGTGACATTCAGCTGTTAGTGACACACACAGCTTACAGTGAGAATGCAGAAAAATTAAGGCAATATGACAGAGAAAAACTAGCTCACCTGTCAGTATAACAAGTGTGAAATGCCAAGGGCGCTTGGTGAGGAGAACTAAACCGGCCCGCACTGCCCTTAGTGAGGAGGGGGGGAAATAACCCTTCAGGACTAACCAGCCCGCCTTGGCTGCTTTCCAACATGCCTGACCTACTGGAACACTTTTCTTTATACTGGTTCCATGGCTCTGGAAATAACAAATCCATATATGGGGAAGGGGGTAATATCCATATATGGGGGAGGGGGTAATAGCCTTTTGTCTATAGGCATTGCTTTTTCCCCATGTCAGCCTTTTAACAGTGAGGACCTGCAAAGCGTCAGAGCAGTGCAGAGAGACCGCATAGAGCGGGGGCGGCCATAACGCTGATGTCATGAAGACGGGCTTTTCCACAGATCGTGTAGCTCTGCCTGTCTGCTCTCCCAGACAGCACCAATCAATCAGAGTGGCGACAACACCACAAGGCACACGTAATCCATCCACTTACAGACACAGTCCAAAGCAAGCGTCTGCGGAAGTCTCACCTACGTCTACTCGCTCCTGCCGCCTTATTCACGACTTACGAAAAAACGAAATCTAAAGCCAGGCTGTGGCCATGCTCGCCCCCTGGACGGTACCGCTTCCTGCTTCCGGGCCGCAAAGACTTATTGCTGGCACTGTGCAGCCGAGATGGCACTTTATCACCGGGTCAGCTGGTCTTTAACTGGGAAACAGTGATGTGGACTTTACAGTAAGGCTGTAGTATAGTGCAGTATAGTGCAGTATAGCAATGCAAACAATGTTACTCACACTGAATTGTATACTATTTTATCAATAACCACACTTACCTTTATACATTAGAAATTATTCGAAATTATTATTATAGAAATTATTCTAAAACCTATATCATTTTACATATACTTATTTTAACTAAGCATGATGAATTTTATGCTCTTTTATAAATAAAATAGTTCGTTCATTTGATCACTTCCTCAGTAGATCAGTGGAGTTCCCAGATAATCAGAGACAATCTGGGGATTTAACCTAGAATATTTCCCAGGGAGCATGAAAGCCAAAGGGTCTCCGAGCTGCAAGAGCACCCCAGCAATAAGGTGGAAATCCCAGGCACTGCCAGCCTGTTTATAGCGGTCCAGTTAGGCTTATCTGCTGCGATGGGCCCGACTGGGGCCTGACTGGGACCAGAGAGGCTTCCAGTGAAGTGTTACTGGTAATTCCTGCCACATGTTTCATATTCTACAAAAAGCGATCAATAATATCAACGTTAAAAAAATCCCAGGGGTCAAATGGACCCCACCCGAGTCACTAAACAGTAAATATTTCAGGGGGATGAGCGGGTCTTTGAAGGGAGCAGTGAAGCGCGGCCCACTGCCATTTCCGTGGCTGTCCGTGGGCCAGAGCAGGTTCAGGTGAAGGTTAGGCCTCGGCGGCGGCGGGGGGCACACCAGCGTGCTGCTTTGATCAGGGGACCGCGCGCCATCCCTGCTGCTGCGTGACGACGATTGGCTGTGACTGAACATGCGCTTTGCATTTCGGGCCCGTGGTGTGCGGCTCGGCGCGGCACGGCGTCCTGGCGGCTTGACGCGGCGAAGGCGGCTCAATCACGCCTTCTGGATCATTCTTAGTCACGAGGAAGAGCAGCCCAGGAGAAAGTGCTCACAGGTGTTTTAAATGTCGGGCAGAAGCAGAGGTACTCTGCTGTTACTCTGATGTTATTCTCATGTTACTCTGTCATTATTCTGATGTTACTTTGATGTTTCCTACTTTTCCACATAGTCAACATATTACACACCAGTTGTTGTGCGTAACCCAGAGCCTACCCACACGTTATGCGCCTGCACCTACTTTCACGTCAGACGTATCCTCTTGGCAGTTCCTCCAGGCCCGGCACACAGAGGAGAAGCTCCGATCGGCATGATCGAATTCCCCTCCTTGGAAATTCAGAAAGAAAGTGGCGAAGGGTTCCTGAAAACGACAGGAGAAAGGGACGAGGGAAGGAGAGAGAGAGAGGGGAGAGGAAGAGATGGAGAGTGAGGAAGAGGGAGCACGAGAGCGGCAGAGAAGCCTGCTGAGCGGCTCACGCTGTTACAGACACTGTGTGGATGATGCTGCTGGAGGTTCTGCAGACTCATGCTAATGCTAAGGGTGCGAAAATCTCAGAGGGGTGAATGGGAGGTGCAGGAGGCTTATTACAGAGAGGAGAGAGAGTGAGACTCACCAGGCGGAGCAGCCACATGAGGGTGAAGCTGCAGGTGGAGTAGTGAGTGCCGTAGTGAAAGCGGGGAACCTGCTCGTCCTCCCAGGTGTCGAAGCGCTCAGAGAAGAAGGCCGCCCTCTTTGGGTTGAGGGCGCCCATGGGCTGGGGGGGCGGAGTCAGAGATTGGCTAATCACACAATGCATCAATCGTGCACTACACGTCACTCAGGGGGACAGCTGGGCGGGGGATATCCATAAATGTACCACAGCAGCATCTCACAGAGCGCAGAGGCTAAGCTAAACTGGCGAATATTACAGCATGTCAGAAGTCGAGCGGCCATTCATTTATTTATTTGGTCATTTAGAGAAACTTCTTTTATCCCACCGGATTGCCGAGTGAGGCCCTGACCCAGGTTCCCGACAGTGGGACACACGCTGAAATATACTTTGCAGCGCAAAAACATAATTTTGTACATTCTCGTTTTAACCAAGGGGGGCGCTGTGCTGTTTGCTGCTCAGGACGACAGGCGAGGAGTATTATTTTCAGGGTGACGTCAGGGGGGAGGCGTTCATGTGACAGAATGTAAACCCACGAGCCCTCGGAGAAATGACAGCAACAAACAGCACGGCGTAGCAGAAACCCGGAAGTGACACAGATCTGTGTCCCGGCGGATCCACAAATTAAAGCTTTGGCCTTTTGGATTCATCCATCGCACTGTCCCACGGAGCCAGAGTACCAACACCGTCCTGCAACAAGTTGGTGCATAAACCAAGTAAAACAGACAAGCTAAATAAACCCAAAACTGCGTTACTGACAAATAAACTCTTTCCACAGTTTACACTCTGATGATCAGGGCATTTTAATTGCCCTTCATACAAAACAACACTGATTAGCACCGACGTGCAGTAAATGAGGATGTTTCTGTGTGTTTACACCACTGAATGTAACATTTCACATAATGTCCCGTTTAGACCATGAAAATAAGATGAAAAGACAGCAAATTGCGTGGGAGCTCTAAAAACATCAGGAACAGCCGGTGATTTTCTAACATTTTAAACAAACAACGCTAAACACTGTCAGCTACTGTGGTGCAAACAGACATAGCAGCGTTTCCTGTCAAACGTTTACCGTGGACACAGGGAAGCACCGCTTTGTCAGTGCCGCTTCACTCTGCTTCACTCTGCTTCACTGACCCCCGAAAAGCGCGTCATCTTCCTGGGATGTGCTGTCATTTTGGCGTGGAAGGGCATGGTGACCCGGGGTTGTGCGTTCGGATGTTACCATGGCAGCGACCTCAGCGGCTGTCATCGTGAGGAATTACCATAGAAACAAGCCGCTGAGGCAATGGTGCTGTACACCCGTGCAGACACACTCACGGTGACAGCAGACGGAGCGACTCTGGGTGATATACGGACGGAGCGACCCTGGGTGATATACGGACGGAGCGACTCTGGGTGATATACGGACGGAGCGACTCTGGGTGATATGCGGACGGAGTGACTCTGGGTGATATGCGGACGGAGTGACTCTCGGTGATGTGCGGAAGACCAGCCAACCTTAAGCGGTCTGTCAGGGACCAAGGTCGACCCCTGCGGCTTCCTGAAGAGGTGTTATAATCAGACGCCGCACTTACTGCTGGACCTGTTATTGTTTAAGGAGCACCGCTGAGAAGCTAATGTACCTGCACTATTAAACACTCCTCAACCAAGAACTTGAAGTTGTTTAGCTATGAATGTCCAGACCAGGTACCATCAATCTGCACCTCTGGCTCGGCACGGGGTCTGAGGACCACCTAGCAGGAAGGAGAACGACGCCAATCACGCCGCTGCGAGCTGGCACCGACCCAACGCCCGGAGGGAGCTGCAGACATGGCCGGGGCCGTCTCCGGGGGCTTTCCCCTCCGGCTCCGTAGGGGCACCTCAGGCGGTGATGGACCTGTCAGATGGCCAGATGTGCTGGGGGGGGGGGGGGTCACCTTGGACAGGTCCCTGAAGTTGCTAGGTAGTGCCAGGTCCAGCTCCTCACTCTCGTAATTAGCGATGACCCAGGGGAACACGGGGTACTGGTTCAGGTCATTGTACGTTCGGCCTGAAAGACAAAGAGCAAGCTGAACACCATCCACAGCGGGGATTACAGACGCTGTCACCACAGGATCCCAAGGCCATAGAAATGCTGGTTCCAGGAGACACAGAGATCTACAAAAAACCAGGAAGTTAAAGCCAAAGTATACAGTTAATGTAAGATCATATGAAATGGGTAAAAAAAAACAGTTCTGATGTATCCTGACTCTGTCGATGGTGGTTCCGGTCCATTGTGCCGAGCCTGGGCCAGAGTTGGCTGCCGTACCTGAGATGGTGTTGAGGAACATGAGGTACTCAAAGTTGGATATCTCCCCACGCTGCCAGCGCTGGGTCATGTTGGACCTCCGGAAGAGCTGCCTGGGGCTGGCCAGTGACATCCACCTGATGAAGCAACGAGAAGGGAACAATAACCCAGAGTGCCGAGGCCCCCTTGTGGCCTGGAGGCCAAAGCTCAACAGAGGATGCCAGAGATGGATTTAACAGAGTGACACAGGTAAGCCTAGAAGGAAAAACCTACAATCTAATTAAAATGATGGCAAATTAAAGCATTAATCACTGTTACGGTGCACCAAACATGGCTCTCTGAAGAATTGTGTACCAGAAAGTCAGAATCAGAAGGAAAGAAAAGCAGGAGAGAGATAAATGACTGCAGCCTGAAAAGAGGAGTGTGATAGCATGATGTAGTCAGACAATCACATTTCAGTCCAGAAGGTTCCGATTCTCTGCTGCCAGGCCAATATGACCTAAGCCAGAGGTGGGCAATCTTATCCGCAAAGGGCCGCTGTGTGTGCAGGTTTTCACTGCAGCTCCCTCATTATATTACTAATTAGAGGACTGATTGGCTGAGGAGTCCTCACACCTGGGTTTGAACAGCTGACCGACAGGTTATCCCAAAGACCTGCATACACACCGGCCCTTTGCGGGTAAGATTGCCCATCCCTGACCTAGGCTGTTAAAGTCCACGGTCACACAAATAAACATAATTAAAATTAACCGTAGGCTCGTTGTTCTGGAAGTTAAAGGCAAATAAGTCGACCACTCTTTCCGTGAAGGCAATTAAGGACAGTAAGCTGGACATGTGCCCCCCCCCCCCAGAGCGTACAAACCAAACAACACACCCCCTGCTGTGACCCGTGACAGTGGGAGGTGTGGTGGGGGGGTGGAATTTATAAATATAAGAGAAATGTGAGGAAACAAGGGGCTCACGACCCAGAATGCAATGCTTCACCTCCTCAAGTTTGCTACCTCTATCCATGGGGTACCAGTATAGGACCTTCCCCAATGAAGGCTTAACCATTATATTCCACCGTCCTCATTATTAAAGAAAACTCACATCTGCACCCGCTAGTGTTTAAGGGTCCAACAGCTCGCCCCTTGGCGGGGCCCGCCTGACACCCTGTTGACATTACCTGCTCTGAGGGTGTCCGTAGGTGTCGCCCACACCCACGCAGGGCAAATGGCCGACAACCTTCTTCACAGTGGCAGCGTCCGGGAAGTTGAACATGACGGCAGCTGCGTGAACACAGGAGTTCAAACACTCAAACTGAAACAAACGCGCGTAACAGCACGGAGCTGAAAGAGCTTGGGAGGGGGGTGGCCCTGCAGGGCGGGAGCAAAGCATGCTGGGAAGGCACTGGCGTGAGCGCGGCGTGGCGAGTCGATGCTCACTCTTGCAGGCCAGGAAGACCTCCAGGGCAGTGTCCTGCAGCAAGTAGCGCCTGGAGAACACAGCCCGGATGTCGGAGAAGAGCCATTTCCCGTGAAGGCCGTCTGTGTAAGCCAAGACCTGCAGCGGACAAGAACTGCATGAGTCACTAATGAAGACGTGGGGGTGCAGAGCTGGGTGCCGTGAAGGTGGGAGAACGGCCGAACGAAAGGCACTTTTCAGGAGCATCTTTCATATTTTGCATATTTGTTAGCAAAGAGACTGAATCTGACAGCAACAAGGGACAATGTGATAGTTTGCCCCCTGTAGGCCAGGTTGAGAACAGCTTTGCAGTTTAAAAACTGTTTAAAAACTGTCACTATTGTTAACAATGATATATCACACTTATCTTGAACTACATTTTGAAAATATTCATAAGAAACAGTAATTCTGCAATCAGATCTTATTTTTTGCTGACTGGTGGTTTTGTTTGTGTTTTCTGGCATCTAGGATGCATAACAGTAAATTCCCTTTGTTCGTTATGGATCATTGTTATTCCGCAGGCTCCGCTCTGCATTGGATTAGTGAACTGATGACCTCCAGAGTAAAAAAAGAAAAGCCAATGAAGCCTAAATCGCCAGTCCTCCTCGGTCAACCAAAAAAAACATGCAGAAGCGAACGGCGAAGACCAGGAGAGGAGTTTGAGCGAACACCCGGGAGCATAATCGGACCATGCGGGGCAAAATGGGAAGGAAGCTGAAGCCAGCGAGAGTCCATTACAGCATGTATCACCGTGGAGGGCCTGCTCAGTGGCTAAGCGTGCCTGCTCAGAGGCTAAGCGGGCCTACTCAGAGGCTAAGCGGGCCTGCTCAGAGGCTAAGCGGGCCTGCTCAGAGGCTAAGCGGGCCTACTCAGAGGCTAAGGGAGCCTACTCAGAGGTTAAGTGGGACACAGTCAGCCGGCCTCGTCCTAAATGGCCGCTGCTAGGGGTGCTCAGGAAGATGGGATTTTAGAAAAAGAGCGCGACACTGCAGCGGGCGTACTTGGGCCACACAGGACAAAGGGAGCCCGCAGTCTGTGATAGAAGCAGAGAGCCTCAGGAAAGAAGAGAGACAGTCAGATGGGGGCCTGGCAAAGCCAGCAGCCCCCCCCACAGTGAGGCCAGGCTTAACAGGAGGCTTCATGCCACACAGGGTAAGCGGGCTGAGCGAGGGCCAATTTGTACTGTGGAATTAACAATTTCCGCATGACTGCCTGACTCAAAGGATCAGAGGCGGGCGGCTCTTACTGTTACGACTGTGCAGCTGTGGGGGGGGGGAACCACCTCATCTATGAAATTAATGAGCATAAGAGAGAGTCGATCGATCCAGCCCGACAGCAGATCTAAGAATTTGATGTAATTCATGGTGAAAAGCAGTGATCGTATCTGTGCCCCCATCTGACCTCAATTCTCTATCTGACGACCCCCCCTCCCCTCATGAGGACTAGGTGCACATGCTCTATCTCCTGCCAGCTTAGGCCCAGAATTCAAGAATAGAATTTCAGAATAGTTAGACGAGGGATGAAGAAAACAGGAAACGAGGGATGAAGAAAAAATGGATGAAGAAAAAAAAAAAAAAAACAAACAAAACAGTACTGGAAAATCAAAACAGCACAGCATAACCAACAAAAACAGCACTGAAAAACATATGAATCAGTACTGGATAACCAAGAAAACGGCACTGCAAAATCAAAATAGCACTGAAAAATCAAGCAAAACAGCACTGATAAATCAGAGGCATGGGAAACAGCACTGAAAAACTAACAAAACAGCAATTTAAAATAAAACACAGGACTGCAAAAACAAAAGGGTACTGCAAAATCAAACAAAAGCAGTACTGAAAAACAAAGCAGCATTGCAAAAACAAAAACATAACAAAAAACTGCAAAAGACTGTAAAACTGTGAGTGCCATTTTAGAACATGGAGGAACTAAACACAAGAACCAGACAGGAGATCAGTGTGTGGTGAGGTGTGTTTAGTTAGGATGAGCTCCCCCCACACACACCCACACACCCCTTCTCCTGCCGCACACTCATTCTCCACTCACCGCTGCCTCTCCCCTGACCTGTCACCCTCCATCAGTAAACAAGATCATCAGATGAATGTGGACCCAGATGAAGGCGAAGCCTAATGAGTGCAGCCCCGCCCAGAGTCTCAGCCCCACCCAGATACTGCCTGATTTCCGCCTGTAAAGACTCAGCCCCACCCATAGAGAGTCTCAGCCCCACCCAGACAGTGCCTGGTCTCCGCCCAGAGAGACTCAGCCCCGCCCATAGAGAGTCTCAGCCCCGCCCAGATACTGCCTGGTGTCCGCCCAGAGAGACTCAGCGCTGCTGGAACCATTAGGAGGACCTGACAGACTTATGCTAAATATGAGAAACCAAGACAGGTCATTTTAGAAGCACCAACTCAACCCTCCCGGCTGAAAATAAATAAATAGTCAGATCCACTGGAGAGATGGCCACATAGGGGCTGGATAATGGATCACAGTTTAATGGAAGGGTCATATCATGGGCAGTTAGCAGGGTTAGCCCAGTTAGCAGGGTTAGCCAGCTGGGCCGGGGTGGCACGGCTTGCCGGGTGATCAGAGGGTCATGACCCAACATGGCTGTCCAACACGAAAACAAAGTGGTACCAAAACAAGCAGAGGATGATACGGCTGTGGATCCATCAGCATTGAGACGCAGAGGACCCCGGGCCCCGGCTGGCCCCCTGTGGGCCTCCCATGGGCCAAACACACAACCAACTGGCGGCGGGAAGAAAAGGTAACAGGAAGGAAATGGATGCCTAGGAAGGCTAGCTGGGCACAGGCAGCGCGGAGGTCATGGGGGCCAAGCTGCCTGGTGTGGGGGCTCCAGGGGCCAGCAAGCCCACAGGAAGATGGGGGACATCTGTCACCATTAGCAAGGGCTCTGACACCAGTCTATAGCAGCTCTCTCTGATGATATTAAGACACCCCCCGCCCCCCCATCCCCAAAGAGCTGCCCAGCTTGTCAGTGCTGATTATGGCAGCATTTCATGTAAATACAGTCTGCAGGCTTCCTAACCCCACTTTACATTTCTGCCATAACAAATCACAGGGACACACACACTCTCACACACACATACAGACTAACTCTCACACACACACACAGACAATCACACACACACACACACACACAGACAATCACACACACACACAGACAATCACACACACACACACACACACAGACAATCACACATACACATACATACAGACACACTCTCACACACACAAACTCTCTCTCACACACACACACACACACACACAGACAATCACACACACACAATCACACATACACATACATACAGACACACACACAACACACACACACTCACACACACAATCACACACACATATACAGACACACACTCATACACGGACACACACAATCACACACACACTCATACATGGACACACACACAATCACATACACACACACACACACACTCACACAGAGACACACACACACAGAGAAACAAAAGCACTCATATTGTTGTGGGGAGTGTCAATTCATTTCTATGGGAAGACCTTAATCTCACCTGTGATGACCATAACCTCTACCCAGCCTTAACCGTAACCATAAGTAACCAAACTAAATACAGGACTTTTGGCATTTTCTAGTCTATTTATAAAATAGAGTTTAACCTTGTGGGGACCGAAAAAAATTATCCCACAAGGTTAACACAGCTTTTTATCACATTTGGTCCCCACAATGCAAGATATGAATAACACCCCCCAACACACACACACACACAGATACTAAAAGCAACAATAAGTATTCTGCTAAACTGTTGTAAAATATTTTGTGTTCTGCATAAATAAGCAAACAAAAACATACTGAAGATGAATCAAAGCCAAAAAGTATAATGAGAACAAGATGATAAACCTAAACATGCACTGGACTGGACTGGAATGGACTAGACTGGGCGAATTCTATGCAGATTTAAAAAACAGGAACAGGTCCAGGATTTTGAAGTATTGCAAAATGTCCCATCCGATATGGACCCCCCCAAAAAAATCAATATCAGTCAGTCGTCAGGCAAGACTCAAATTTGTCACAGATGGTGTGACTCAGCCTTGGACGGGGGGGGAGGGAGAGAGGTGCCCCTTCCCCAGCAGCGTGCCATGGAACTTTCTGGAATGCTCTCCAGCAGTGATGGGAAGCCCGATCGATGGCTGTGTGATCACATGTTCCCAGCGCTGCGATAACAACCCCCAGGTGCCCTCCCCCAGCCACCCCCGGTGATGCGCTGCTTCAGGCCAAGCGCCAGGTGCCCTCCGCAGCCACCCCTGGTGATGCCAGCCACCCCCAGTCATGCGCTGCTTCAGCAAGGAGTAAGATGTAGTTACAGATCAAGCCCAGCGGGAGGCAGGCAGCTTGACACTGTCAGCTGGTGCCATGCCTCCTCCATAGGGTGGAGGAGGACAGCGCCCCCCCCGACTGCTAGAGACACTGGCTGACTCCCCACACAGGCACCCCTGACAATCCTCAGCAGCAACCTTCTGATCACAGAAACATCCCCGTAACCCGCAGAGCTGCACACCAGCCCATGGGCCTAAAGCGCTGAGGGGGGGGGGAACCAGGTATAAATCACAGCAGCTTCCCCACAACATAGGAGCAGACTGCCACGACGGACACACGGCCTCCAGTTTAATCCCCTGCGCGATGGGGGCAGGTGACCGAGTGTCCGTAAACACTGAACACCCGGGCTGTGTATGTGTGTGTGATTGTGTGTGTTTGTGGGGGGGGCGGTAGGCAGTAGGCCCCCATGTCTCTCCCCGGTCAGGTGTGGCGGCTCCTTATCCTCACAGATCTGATCGCGCAGTGGAGCTTTGATATTAGAAAACAGAGGCGAGACATAAACCCTCAGCCATAAAAACCCCAACACTGCTGCCTCTGTCAGTGAGCTGCGGGACTCATTCCCTCTCACTGAGGTATTAACCACGCAGTAATCATTCCGCTCAGATTATTCTGCGTATGACCGATACGTTGGTGACAGGGACGCCCTTGTCAACAAGACAGTTTTTGGTTTCCGTAATAATTATATTTTTTAAATCAAGTATGTTTCACATACTCCTGAAAGTCAATCTCATGCACATTTCAAACCCTGTAAGTTCTGCGACTTTTCCGTATTTAATTGTCAGCAATCAGACGATGAGTGAGGTTTCCCTGCACGTATCGTTTATAAATCCACGGTGACCAGCGAAAGAAAACTGCAAGAATAATGAACGGGGCTGTTTTTCTTTTAAACGCAGACAGGGCTGGATTTTCCAAACCTTGCGAAACTAGGAACACTTTTAACTTAAATTTGGATGGAAACAGAGGAAAAGCGCGCGCGCCCAGCAAGTCGCTACGCCGCAGTTACTCGGAGCTCGAGATTCATCACCGGAGCAGGAATGTATGGAAATGACAAGCAGGAACACGAGATATTTTCCCATACTACACTTCTATAAAAGGAAGCTTTTTTTCCTCACTCCTCTCCTCCCTCCTGCTCTGCCCCCCTCCCCCACTTGTTCGTCCACTGATCCTGAAATCCAGAAATAAGGGATATAGTATTAACCGCCTTCTTACATATACTGTATAGAGCATTGCAAAGAAAATATGATGCACGAACAAGCACACAAACAAAGCTCGTATTTAAACCAGAAATATATCGGTTTGTTCTTATTCAGGTGGCTGAAATCACCATTTTTAGATGCAAACTCAGCAACAATTACAGCTTTGGGTTTTTCCCGAGTACAACTCCACAGTATAAACTCGGTGCTATTTTCGTCCTGCCAGATTTGCTGCAGGTCTCAGGCATGAAGCTCTCTTAACTGCTTCCTTTATTCAGGCGGATCGGAGCCGGGACTGTGACCCGAAGCGCCCCCGAGGACTCGCGCTGAATCCCGCAATCGCGGAGCCCGGCTGAGGAGGTCGAAGCTGCTGTTCGGTCATAGAGCGACTCTTGCTTAAAACCGCGATTTGCTCTAAATAACAAACCACGACAATATGAAAAACAGCAGCAATGGGCCGTACTGACGTTTACCAGGCACACGATAATGCCGTATTAAAGTTCGCTCAAAGACACCTCGTCTCAATAAGCATCAGGACAGTGCGGTCTGTACGGAGAAGCCACACTTAAACTTCTATTTAATCTAGTCCCTGAACAGTCATTATAAGCTCGTTCAGATTGGCTTCTCATTCCGTCGTAATAGTATATTATCACAATAATATTAATTTTCATTCAAACACCATGTTTTAGACTAAGTGATAACTATTCCAAACATCCATCTGCGTTATTCACGCCTTTGAAATTCAAATGTGTCCGCTTATGTTTGCACATATAGGCCAACCTGCGCGACGTGTTACGTTCAGTTATTTTACCTCTACGGGTAATAAACCCAATAAAGGCGACGCCCAAATCAACCACTAACTTTTGCTAAAATACTGAAATCCCAAAGAGAACATTAACATCGAAAAGCCCTATAAATCTGATGGACAAGAGATTAGCTATGATTACTATAATTAATTTGCAAATGAAGTTCTATAAAATACATGCACGTAGGGGTGCATTTAGAAAATCAATATTGTTTATTATAGCCCAATTACACGTCTGCAATATAAACAAAGAAAAACAAAACAATTAATGCAGAAAAAAATATTTTCTCTGTAATTACAAATGATTTTCATGGATAATATTATTTAAAGAACCTTTAACCATTTCCTTGGTGTGCTTAAGTGTATTGAGATATTTTAATAGAAACGTTGAAACTGTACAAAGATGAAAATGGCGTATTGAAAATAATGCAAATGCGGAGAGTACGACGCAGCTAAAAATTATTCAACTTTTACCATATTATATATATATATATATATATACACTGTAGCTAAACGAAGGTCGTATAAAATGCCGCATTTGTACAAAATGGATCCATTTCCACAAGATAAAACGCATGAAAACGTTTAAGCCGAAATGTTTCCGTAGGGTAATTTCGTAAAATATGACAGAGTTCGATGTGGTGTCGTTTAAATATACACAAAGTTAACCACAAAAAAAAAAAAAGATTAATAGATTAATAAAATAATATTTGTATTATTTTAATGTTTAATAATAAACAGAATAAAAGTAAATGGGAGAAAATATTCAGTGCAGATTATAACAACATAAAACGCGAACAGCAGATTAACCACGGTACCTGAAGTAGAGATGATTACAATAATCTCATAGGCAATTTACTGCTCCAGTAATCAACAGTTTGTGATTCGAGTTTAAGCAAAGATAATTTCTCACATACGATTTGCATTTCGTCGCAAATAATGAATATAAAGGAATCAACCAAATTTTACTTACAAACGATATCTTGTACAGGTGCTTATCTATGTTTCTAAACGCATGAAGCCACAGTTCAGTTCAGCAACTCAATTACATATTAAATCTCTTTACAGAAACACGTTTTAACATTAATATAATACGTATTTCTATTAATTGTATGTTAAAGTAATATTTTTAATAAATTGTATTTGTAACATATATATTCAAAGACTCGAGTTATGTCGATATTTGAGATAAATAGTATATATTTTTCTATTAAAACGGGGGGTGGGGCTATTATATATAAAATATATTTTTAATGTGGAAGGCACATTAAAATTAATTAAGTTAATTCAAAGACCGCTTATAGATTTCTAGGCAGCCTGCATGAAGTCACTTGTGAGCGGCTCTCCAAGCCGGCCGGCCGCACGGCGCGAGTCCTCTTGGTCGCCGGAGCGCCGCGCTGATTGGACGCGGCGCCTTGACAGCTCTGCCCGCGATTGTAGCGCCAAAAGCCCGACCCCTTCGGCCCAGCTGGGGGGAGCGCTCATAAACTAAGCCACTCAAACGCTCCCAGCTGAGTCTGGCCATCACGGCAGACGGGGTTAAAAAATGGGGGTGTCCTGTTAAACAGGTTGAAGATCTGAGGAATGACTGATCACCACTGGCTGTGCGTATTTCAACGCGTGCATCAGTAGAGAAAGCGAAAGATGCAACCTCGACTCGCAGACCTGCTTTCTGTCATCTACCACCGTCTGCAGCCCAGCCGGCCGTTTCTTCTTCAGATTTCTGTAATGCACTAACTTCTACGTCCACCGTTTTTCCCCCCCGGAACTCTATTTACAATTAACGCAAGACTCTTCCCTTTTCTTTCAATACTGTGGAGCGCCTGCCTCTGGCTTAACCGTGAGCCTTGGATCCGTCGGCGTATTGTGAGACCCCGGTGTATAGCCCGGACATCTGCCCCAACATGATAGCCGCGCAAGCGAAGCTGGTTTATCAGCTGAACAAATACTACAATGAAAGGTGTCAAACTCGCAAGGCAGCTATCGCCAAGACCATCAGAGAGGTCTGCAAGGTGGTGTCGGACGTCCTGAAAGAAGTCGAAGTGCAGGAGCCGCGGTTCATCAGCTCATTGAGCGAGATCGACGCTCGCTACGAGGGAATGGAGGTCATCGCTCCCACGGAGTTTGAAGTCGTACTTTATCTAAATCAAATGGGCGTTTTCAACTTCGTGGACGACGGATCATTGCCGGGGTGCGCAGTTTTGAAGCTCAGCGACGGGCGGAAGAGGAGCATGTCGCTCTGGGTCGAGTTCATCACGGCTTCGGGGTACCTCTCCGCCCGAAAAATCAGATCAAGGTTTCAGACGCTGGTGGCACAAGCTGTGGACAAATGCAGCTACCGGGACGTGGTGAAGATGGTCGCCGACACAAGCGAGGTGAAGCTTAGGATCCGGGAAAGATATGTCGTTAAGATCACCCCAGCTTTTAAATGCACCGGCATCTGGCCTAGAAGCGCGGCGCAGTGGCCCATGCCTCACATTCCGTGGCCGGGTCCTAATCGGGTGGCAGAAGTCAAAGCCGAAGGATTCAACCTCCTTTCTAAAGAGTGCTACTCGTTAACCGGCAAACAGAGCTCCGCCGAGAGCGACGCCTGGGTCCTGCAATTCAGCGAAGCAGAAAACAGGCTGCTGATGGGAGGCTGCAGGAAGAAATGCCTCTCCATCCTAAAGACTCTACGGGACCGGCACCTGGAGCTGCCCGGACAGCCGCTGGACAACTACCACATGAAGACGCTTCTCCTGTACGAGTGCGAGAAGCACCCACGCGAGTCCGACTGGGACGAGGCGTGCCTCGGTGACCGGCTCAACGGGATCCTGCTGCAGCTCATCTCCTGTTTGCAGTGCCGGAGGTGCCCCCATTATTTCTTACCCAACCTGGACCTGTTTCAGGGGAAACCTCACTCAGCCCTGGAAGCTGCGGCAAAGCAGACGTGGAGACTGGCGCGGGAAATCCTGACGAATGCGAAAAGTCTGGACAAATTATAGACCCGTTTCAATATAAACACACCAATCTGTCTTTTTCTGTCTCGGAGATTTATGAAGAAACGGCAAATGGGATATTACAAGAAAGAAAGGTACATTTCCAAATAACGTAAAATGTTTTGAAAGTTTTCACGAAGAGTAGAAATTTGCGCATAGATCACAAACCTTTGTTGAAAAATACGATGCAACGTGCCACGGTCGATTTTCTATTAAGTGTCCTGGAATTTAAAGTAGCCTAACAAAAATACATCGAAATTGGTCGTTTTCGCTGCTCAGTGTCAGGCCTTAGAACTTTAACTGCAAATTTTTAAGGAAACACTTTGAAAATAGGTTCAATGTTAAATCGAAGGAATAAGGCTCAATAAAAGCCTGCCATGTTTAAAGAAAACTTTGCGTAAGTTTACATTCAGAGTAGAAATGCCAACTTAAACAAAAAAACAGGCCATCTTTAAACCACCCAGTCTTCATAAACGCAGGCAACTTGCTGAAACGAGCGAGAGGCCAGAATTATGGAAACACGGTTATAAAATGGTGCTGTTTTAGAATTATGTTTGACGCACATTTGTAATATTGTCACGTAAATTTAGGATTAACGTAATAAGCTACTACGTCTGTTATTGTTACAGTAATAATTCATAATTTTATTATTACCATGAGCCTCATTATTGTCCGTATGTTATTATCCCGCCAGCCCCGTGAGTGTTACCAGCAGGAATAGTGACATTTAATGATCACGCTAATTGAAAAATAAATATGCAAACACATATGCGGTCTTGCTGCATCAGGAACGTCTTCCAAAATCTTCATACCTTCCCCAGACCGCCAAAACCAAATGTTACCATCGATGCACAACTACTGACTGATAATTACGAGCATTTCAGTCGTTTGCTGAACACAGGCCTATACGCAAAACCTAAACGACACTAAATCAAATTTAGTTGTTGAACGCCAAACACAAACAGGAACAGTATTCAGGGAAGACGAGGCCTAAGTGTACGAATCATTTTAAGAAGTGCCGCCAATTCGATGTGCATTAGGCCTATTTTTTTCCTGTATTGCGTGGACAAAACGCTTCTGAATAATAATAATAATAATAATAATAATAATAATAATAATACCTCAGGCATGTGTATTGCGTAATATACTGAACATGACAAACTGAAATTCATGGAAGTAAAACGTAAAAGTTACAAACATTTTCCATCTTTTTAAGGTTATTTAAAATGAAGCGAATTTAATATAATTAAAAGAGATACGAATAAAATTTATTAAATAAATCATTTGTTAATTCACACACATAGCGCATGTATGGAACCCACATTTATTATTATTTTTTTATTTATTATGCAAAAAAGGTAACGTTACACGTGCGATAAAAATCATTTTTCTTACGTTCAGATTTAAAAATTTGAATTAGACTAACACCAAACAACACCTAAATACAAAATGATATCAAACTTCCAAAAAAGCGCAAATATGTGTGTTGCCCATCCTTTTCAGTTAGGATTAAGGAATTTGTGTGTATGTAGGCTACAGCACGTATTATCCAATAAATATTTACTTCATCGTAATGTAAAAATAAACACTAATAAATTAAACGCATCCCTGTAATAACAAATGATCGGACGAATTAACTCTACGTTGGTAAACTGCGGCGTTTCAGGCCCGGAACGACCTGAGGTCTTTCTGACTGTGCTCCCACGTGAAAGGGAGGCGTTTAAAATAAGCGCAGCAATTTTTACGTCGCTTGAGGACAAATCAGCATTCATGCCGACTGAGGGAAGTTAGACAGCAGGTCTGCTATCCGGGTTTAGATGTGGGGTCTGTTTTTTAATCATTTCCACGTTTTTTTAAATACCTAACTTTTTGTTCTGCATTGAATAAATGGATTTTAACAACCTCTTACCTTTGGATCGGTTTTCTTGAAACTACGCTCTTCTTCATCCACTTCAAAGTAGAGTTCCGATGCCGTGACTGACAGGGTGCCTTTGAATACTCCTGCGGGGCCGACCAGCTGGGCGTCCGCGCTAAGGAGCACCGTGCCTGGTAGAGAGAGCACAAGTACCACCGGTCAGCAGCGAGCCCGACCGCCGCAACGCAGAACTGCGCGCGGCGAAAAGCGCGCTGGCCACGCGGCCGAAATGCGACAGAGGTGACAGTGAAGAGCTCGCTGGGGCTCAGGTTTACACGACAGAGACATTTACAGTCCCATTCCCCAGTATTATTTAACATTTGTAAATCGTTAATAGGCCTACTAATATTCAGGCCGTTTGTCTAGTAGGCTATCGGTGTAAAATTCCTAAAGTTCCTCTAAAAATAATAGGCCTATGATTGTTATTAATAATAATAATAATAATAATTAGAAAAAGAAGAAGATGAAGGAGGGGGAAGATAGATAGATAGATAGATAGATAGATAGATAGATAGATAGATAAGGTTGGGCTAGTAGTAGTGATAGTATTTTTTATTACTGCGGAAAAGGAAGTAACGGTACTCTGCCGTTTTATTAGCACTACTGCAATGAGGAAGGGAACTGACTTGTAGGACAAAAAGACATCAAGCTGTCTGTGGTGAGCAGCAGGGCGCGCGCACGCAGTGCCCCGTGCTCCGACGGCCTGGATACGGCGTCGGCTTCCACCACGATCAATGCGCAGGGTCAGGCGCGCACTCATTTGCATTGATTGCGGTACGAGGCTCCGCCGCTTAATCTCTCATCAATCTTGATGTGTCCCGGAGTGACAATGACAGGCCGCTGAGGACCCCGCGGCCGCCTTTGTTGTCATACCCAAATGCACGGCTACATTGTACTGCCAGATGGTTATCACGGAGGTATGGAAGCGATCTGATTTCCCCAAGCACTCGCGAATCTGTACCCAGCAAATGACCGTATTTATTTGTTCACTCTCACATTAACCCCCTGTGCATCAGCCTGGGGTCCGTAGGTGATTTCCTCTCCTTTTTTTCCCAGCTATTTGCAGACATTCAATTACGTTACGCAGGCACCGTCAAATCGCTGGGACACTGCGGTCCCGCTAGACACCCCAGGGCAATTTCCACGACTTTCGGGGCCACGGAGCCGCATCGTTCCTTATGTCATTCTAATCCTGGTCTTAGAAGCGCCGACCATGCGTCTCATTACAGAGCTTATACAGGCGTGTACGTGTGTCAAAAATTACATTATGATTGCATCCGTCAAGAAAAGCAAGCAGCTATTCGATTTTTTAAATGTACAAGCGAAGTCTGTTAATTCAGAATCGAGACAACCGTGGAAGTGAAACACCTTAATTCGGTTCAGGTTCAGAGCCGATTTCATGTAAATTCTGCACAGGCTGCACTGTTGGTTGGAATAACTCAGGAAACCTGGGAGGTCGGTTATTAAACATGTGCAACCATTAAGAAGCGTATGCATGTTTATACCAAAAATTACCATTACGAAGCGTATGCATGTTTATACCAAAAATTACCATTAGTTAACTTAAGGTTTTTTATTGTATAGGTTTTCTGCATTGATTTACAGTTAAATTTACGGCATTTTTACAGTGATCTAGGGGATTATTATTATTATTATTACTACTACTATTACCAGAAATGGTGACTGATGTTCATAAGTTTTGGAAATAATGCTTATGCAATTTACAGGTCAAAAGATATAGAAGTGTTCATAGTTAAATAGGGTGAAATTATACCTACAAACTTTCCCCTCCAACGACATAATTTTAAATATGCTTAAAATACTAATGTTTTATGTAGGCCTAGTTCCAGCACTTTTTCATAGAAATGTTTTGTCCATAGAAAAACATTAACTGTAGACAGAAGCGTCAGAAGCATTTTGAATGTGGAGGGGACACACTGGCATAAAACTAATATTTTATGTTAAATGTTGGGGGGGGAGGGGTCCAAGCGAATAATTATGAAATGTGAGCGCGACGCCCATGACTGTAGGCCTATAAATGAACAATGTGACCACACTAGTATAAACATAAAAAAGTACAATTATAAGAGACAAGCAAAGAAGAAATACGTGCAAACTGAAAGGTGAGATCCATGGGTTTAGATTAATAGTCTTTAAATTAGTGCTACTCCAGGCGGCCGTATTAAGCTCACTCAAGTATTTAAAATTAGAAATTACCATATATTATATGACATTCTCCATAGACAGGCAGGGCGCATGGCTGAAAGGACCCAAAGCCGTCATTTCGAGCATCAGAGGCCTATCTGATCTAGCATATCAATAAAATAAAGTGACTTGCTCGCGCCTGGAAAATGAAGGCTTAACGAGGAATTAACATACAAATAAGCGATGTTAGGACCGCGACCCTGCGCTGATTTGGGGCCTGGAAGATGGGTGGATGGATGTTACCTGTTAGGCTTTTCGAGTCCTTCTCCTCCAGAGATGACAGGGGATCCTCGCCTCCGTCTCCCACCTCGTCAGTCGGCCTGCTGTGTCTTACGGTTTGTCTCCTGATAGACTCTCCGCCTTTCAGAGCATCTTTCTCTGCAGAAAGTGAATCATTGTATCGTGTCTGTCTCCCCGCTGCCTTTTCCTTTATGGTATTACGTTATTCGCAAACACACCGCAAAACGAAACAAGCGAAGCCTAATATACTTAACAAGCAATATCGTGTCAACCAAATGCGAGACAATTAGTCTATCTAACAAATCTCCGCTATTTGTGGAAAACGCAAATAATGAATATTGTTGGTAACTGGATAAGGAACACGAATTGTTTCTTTTTGAAGTTTATGTGAACATTTTTGAGGCACCTCCGTTGCAGAGCCGATTTCCTGTGAGATCTATCATGTTACCTCTCGCTGATGAAAACTCCCCGGGAGCAGCACAAAGGGTTAAGCTTACAATCAAATTACACAGCTAATTTCAGGGAAATTTACTCTGTAACAAGCAGGATGTCCATCAATACCCCTTCAAAAGGGCGGATAAAGTGCAGACGATGAACAAAGTTGGGGCGCTTAGTGCGAACCGTCGGAGAGGCTCATTATTAATCAACAATTTAACTCCAGCAACTTTGTGCCGGCATGTGAACGTAAAAGGCATTTGGAAAGCTAAACTCCAGCGCGAAGCAATGAGAGGCTTTAGTCCCTTTCAAATATGAAAATAAATTTCATTCAAGTTCATTCAAAAAACTCTGGCGCGGTGTCAACGCCCTGGGACGAACGTCAAACAAATCACAGCAACACGGGATTAATTAATAACATTTTTATTTTTCAGCTGTTCCGTACAAAATTTGATCTATCAAAGGGATTATTTAAAAAGAATCATAATCCGTAAACATTTATGAAACTGGCCGTCACTGCTGGGACACAGGGGGATATAAAACCAGCAAGCCGCTTTTTCCCATTTTAAATAACTACACGTGCATGGAGAAAGGAGCGGTGCTGCTAGCGCATGGAAGCGCCGCGGACCCCGACCCGGCGGAAAGGCCCAGCCGCCCCGTCCTTTGCCTGGGAAATACACGGTCCACTGATATTTAGACGGGTCTTCCTGTAATTAAGTCTCCCCCGAGGATTTTTTTTTTGTTACTGGTGATGAAATTACTGCCAGCTTCCCGGTGCGACCCGCACGCCTCGGTATTCTCATGCCGCAGAAAACGCACTTATTTTGCTCACGCGGTGTCATTAATGAACATGTAGCCATGAAAAGCACAGCCCAACTGCATGTAAGCTCTACGATGATGCGATGCGATCTGGTGTGCTCAAACCATATTTTTTGACTATTCTGTTAATGTTTGGAGTTTACAAGATAAACCATTAGATCAATGCGATGAGCGTTTTGACTCGTCAGTAATTTTATTGGGTCGCGTACTTTCAAATTATATTTATATTCAGACTATATTTTCAAAGCCATCATCACTAGATGAACAATCCTTCAGTGCAGGGGCATCAGAAGCATTTTGAATGTGTGTGTGGGGGGAC